AATTAGAATTCAGATTTGAATCTATTTTCCATTCAATGTATCTAATACTAAAAATATCAACTTTATGTGAATTTATTCTTGAAGTCAGTTTCTAAGCAAGAAAGTGTGGAAATTAAATATTGCTGTATATTTTTTTTTCAGATGAAATTTAAAAGTAAATACTCAAAAATTGAAATAAATACTCAAAAATTGAAATAAATAATCTAATTTTTGATGCCAGTACTTCTAACCCCAACTTTTACACTGAGTGCAATGTTGATTTTCTCAAAAAACAAATTGAAAAATCAGCCATGTGCCACAGCTAAGCCACTCTTAGAAAATCAATAGAGTGCTTATGGGCGCCTCAGTGTGGTGTAATTGTTAGCAAGCTGGTCTTGCTAAAACAGTTACGACTGAATAGTGAGTTTGATCCTCACTGGGTGCCCTATACTTTCAGCCATGTGCCACATCTAAGGCACGCTTAGAAAATCAATACACTAGCGGGTCATATATCTTTCGTTATCCCACATATGCCTAACCTATGTCGGTCACCTGTTTACGCGTCGATGACTGCTACTGACATCCCATGAGGCAAGAACCTGTGTCTAGTAGTTATGATGATACCTTCCAGATCATTCGTCTAGTGCTCTAGTTTGACACGTAGTGTAAAGTTTATTTTGGCATCTCATAGAGTGAGCATAATATACACCGAGATCTTCTGGTCGATTCGGTCGACTTTTTAGCGATATATCAATCTCACTGGGCTATTTAATATTGAAATCTGAATATTTTGAACACAATCTTAGGGCTTCAACTACAGATCAAATGGTGTGTTGGTAATTTCGCTATAAATGGGTATTGTTGGTAATTTGTTAGATTTTTTATATGAAAATTTGTTGTTGGTATTTTTATAATTTCATAGTCTTGTTTTTGTTTGTAAGTTGACTATTTTGCCCATAGCTGGGACCCTGAGAGGTGCTACCACCCTGGGTCATTGAACAACAGCAATGAAGAGATGGTTCCACACCTTTCAAAACCTCCCGATCTGCGGCCTTGCTACCCAAGCTAGTATTTCTTTGTCAGACGACACGAGTAAATATTAGCTAACTTGCTTAATGGCTGTTGCAACACAAATGTTCCGTATTCCAGTTAAAAAAAAACAACAACATTTTAGTTAAATTAGGTTAGGCTAGGTTAGATTGGTTAACGGGTTTTTTTTATTTTTTTAATCCTTTCACAATAAAGCTACTAAAACGCAAGGGAGAGCTACTGGGAGTGAAAGAAGCTGAGGATACGTTATTGAGGAGAAAAGACAATAAAGAAACAGGATTCAAAAGTTTAATGATGGTGATTGACATTGTAAACAATTCCGTTATTTCAGCTAAACTTGATTGGGCACCAACCGTAGACTGTTATTCAGTTAGATAATCAATGCGCTAATGTAGCGAGTTCGATCCTCGCCAAGAGCCACACTATTGTAGCTTTTTGTTGGTTGATTTTGTTTAGCGGCATATCAACCTCTATGAGTTATTTAATGTCGAGTTCACTATTTGCCCATAGCTAGGACCCTGCCAGGTGCTACTACCCTATGCCAGGGAACAATAGAAATTAAGAGGTTCCTTAATACCTCCCGATCAGAGGACTTGCTGCCGGACGTAGTTTATCATAATACTCTGGACTACAGGCATTTTTGCATTTCCGGGTGTTAAGTGTCGACTTATACAGGCATGCCTCAGGTTACGTTGTTTCGAGTTGTTTTCGATTATACGTCGTTTGTCAAAAAAAAATACAGAAAAGTCAAAATCAGGTTTAAGTCATTTTATTTCAGTTTACCTCTGTCCACCAGAGTCGTAATATCATTGAAAAGCGTTAAAAGCACATAAAATCATGTTGTGTACAACAAATAAGAATAAAAGTATATAAAATCATATTAAAATACGTACATTTACAGTAAATATTAATATAATCCTCATAAATCCTAGAGAACTAAATATGAAAACATCTGTGATTCTATGCTGTCGTCTTATTTAGCGGTCTTTAAGAGCTCAAAATGGGCGTTTTCCAATGTTAGTTCCAATATCTACCGTTTGGCGACAGTGGAACTTGAACAATCTACCCCGATAGACAAAATAAAGTGATCGGTTCGAAATTCCAATCACCTGAAGATGGCCAGAGCGTACAGCAGCTGAAAGGTTGTGAATATAGCAATGAGGATAACAACGTAGCAGGAAAAAAAGACTCCTAAGAGGATGCTTCCTCAGACGTTACGATCTTAACCTCGTCAAGTCTTAGGGAAACCGTTATCTATCCTACATATCTCCATAATATTCACTTCTTCCTTTTAATTCTTTACATCAGTGGTTCCCAACCGATTTTAGGCCACGCCCCTTTTTGGTATTTTTAAAATTCTTGGTGACCCCCCCCTGTAATATATAATTCTTACATATTCACAATATTACTGCAATTCACGTGAAGGAAGTAAAGTAAATGCTCACATGCGCTGATTGTCCAACAAAACATGGGCTCTTCCAGCATCACGCCCTCTCATTTGTTGACCGAGACACGAGAGTGTAGGGAGACGGGAAATACCCTGTATGCCAATTACACATATACGTGCATACACACAAAATATTTTTATGTATGCTTACTGTATATGCATCTTATGTATTAACACGCATTAACATTAACAATCTCACTCAGACTCACTAGAAAACAATTCATTGGTGCACATCCTACGTATGCCCCACCATGCCCCACCGTTTGGGCATGCGCCCAAAGTTGGGAATCATTGCCTTACACTAACCTTATTCTGCAAGGCTCTATATTGAGTGGCTCTTTGGCTATTCATTGATTGGACAATAGTTTAATAAATAAAGGATGTGAGTGAAACTATACATAAGATAGGTGTCGAGTTATACGTAAATAGGTGAGGGGTTGACTAACACATAAATGGAATGTTGTCACCCTGTACACGAATAACATAGAACTTTGACCTCTACATAAGATAAATAGGTCGAGGAGACTTTATATATAAATTATAAAGAGAGTGCGACCTATACATCAGTAAGATGGGAGTCGACCTAGAGGAATAAGATGGACATCGACCTATAAATAAAACCTACCTAAAATAATTTTAGGGTCAATCTATACATAAAAAAAGTTTTGTGCTGACCTATACATGAATAAGACATATAACGAACTCTTCCTAACATAGGAGTCGAATTAGATGAGATCGACCTGTTCACCAAAATATAAAATCTCAGCTAATACATGGATACGATATGGGGTCTGCCTGTATATATGAAGTCAACTTATACGAATTGCAGTTAAACATGAATCGACCTACACGTAGGCTTATAATAAGTTCCAAGCCTCAAACTGACAAAGCTTTCAATTTTTATTATGAGTTGATATATTTTTGTAATAATAAAGTACCTTCAAGACCTATCACATTTAAGTTTCAGATCTGACACGCACATATATACACGTGCGCACACGCACACGCACACATACACTTCCTGGACAAACTCGGCTGTATGATAAAAGTTTCTTGATAACCGGTCATGCCAATACAAGATAAGTATATCCTTCCCATGGTGAGTTTGATAAATAGCATGTAGTCGAATTTCTACCCGGGAACGGCGTCTCTGGACTTCTCAACACTAGTTCTACAATTTAACTCACAAACAGTGACTGTCTGTTCCTATATTTTCCAATCAGCGGCCTGTATTGCCTCCCGGTTTGGTTTGGTTTACAGCATACCAACCTCAATGGGTTATTTAATGCCAAAAAGTTTTTTTTATTGCTGGTAATATTTTGTCCAAAAATGTATTGCTGGAAGTATTTTTTTCTTCAAAAATGTATTGCTAGTAATAATTATTTACAAAAATGTATTGCTGGTAATATTTTTCCTCAAAAATGTATTGCTGGTAATATTTATTTTCTTCAAAAATGTATTGCTGGTACTAATGTATTGCTGGTAATAATTTTTCCTCGAAAAATTTATTGCTGGTATTAAAACTTATTTTTACACTTTCATAGTGTTTGACCTCAGTTTAGGTGTTAAATATTTTCCCATAGTTGGGACCCTAACAAGTGCTACCACCCGGGGTCAGCGTGGACATAGGAACATCAGCAATTAAGAGGTGGTTCCATGCTCCTCAAAACCTCTTGAACTTGCCTTGTTGTCGGATGTAGTTTATCGTCTTACCCGTGATGGTTGCCTACCAGTGTCAAAAATAGTAAAGGTTTTATTTCATGAAACCTTTCAAGCTTCTTTAGTATTCCTCTGTCTTACTGATCTGTTTGCGAAACTGTAAAGCTTTCTCCGAATATTAACTTGACAAACATACTTTTATATGGTGCTGGATATTGGGTCATTAATCGCCATCCTCTTAACCGCTAGACCAACTTGCTAATACTTAAACAGACAGATCCACTAATAAAAAATAGAGAAGTTTTTTAAGGGAATACTTTTTGTAAATTAACATTATAGACAGATGTCCTCAAGGACACATGGCACAGTGAATAAAGGCGTTAGTTAGATCCAATGACAGGACCCAAAGAGTGTGAGTTCAATACCCGGTTAAGGCAGTGGAGAACTTGGAGAGGGAAATTAACAGTTGTCAAGTTTGAAAGCTTTTATATCATAGCTGTATTTCTTTTAATTTTCTCAATCTTAAAAAAAAAATTGGGGTGGTGTGTTAGAAGCACATGCACGAGCACGCAGTGAAGGCTCGGTGGAGTAATTGTTAGCGGCTCTGATTGGGAAATCTGCGGGCCGAGTGCGAATTGAAGTCGGATTCATTACTTTTAATTACGAGCTAATATCCTTAAGAAAGGTATGAATCCATTCCACCACCAGCTATGAGTAAAATAGCAGGACAAACTGGATCCTATATCCTTGGCTGGCAACCAGTCTAGAAGAAGGATCGCATTACCCTAAAAGTTTTTATACTACTGGAGACTGTTTATGAATCGAAATTCCCACTGAAACCCCTACTCCTAATTTGCACGTACGAATGAATACGACCCCCCCACCTGCTACGCTTGGCCAACTTCCGTTCGAAAGGAATTTGAAGAGTCAGAAAAACATCTGTGTTTAAGGCCACTTTTCAATTTTGCTGGGTCATCGATGCACTCTATAGCCGAGATGTCAAAGCACGTCAGATCTAATGAGGGATTTCACATAGGGAAATGCAGGTTCGAATCCTGTCATAGGGAGATTATTTTTCTCTAATAAGATTTCTCAAATGTTACGATCAGTCGGGCACAATAAATAAAACCATCGTTTAATAAATAAACAGGGCGTCTGCCGAAATAATACGAGTATCCACTAAAAATAATCTTTAAGCGATAATATATTTATTGTAAATTATTACATCGAAAGATTTTTAATTTTTATGGATCATTTTAAGCTATGTAAACGTTAAATCATCTTATATATATATATATATATATATATATATATATATATATATATATATATATATATAAATAAATAAATAAAAATATGATAGAAATTAAGGGGGATTTGAGATAATTAAGTAATTCATCGAGTCTTGAAGAAACTTCAACAAAATGCAGAAAGCACTGAACGGCCGTTTTGTCCTATATTTGGGACTCATAAGCAGTGCGCATCCACTACCGAAAATTGAAACCCGGATAGTTACATTGACAGGCAAACGTCATACCAACTGTACTAACGGGCCTCGGTGACGAAGAGAGAGCGAACTAGACTCGATATTGCGCCGCTCGTTCACACATTCCGTGGTGGAAATCATCCAAGTTCCTTTACCCATAGGACTGTGCCTCCGAGAGCCACGACTACCATCACCAAGCCGCTCCATCCAGGGCCTGTTAGCACAGTTGGTATGACGTTTGCCTGTCAATGTAACTGTCCGGATTTCAATTCTCGGTCGTGGATGCGCACTGGTGATGAGCCCAAAATATAGGACGAAACGGCCACCCAGTGCTTTCTGCATTCTGTTGAGGTTTCTTCTAGACTCGATAAATTACTTATATATATATATATATATATATATATATATATATATGAAGAAATATAGTCTTAAGATGTGCTATATTTATGGTATAAAGTGCTCAATATCATAGATAGAGCGTGTGTAAATATAAAAGTGAACTTTGAAGTAAACACTTAGAGGCGACAGTCTGTCTCATGCTAGATGCAATCATCAGGCCACGACGATTGCGTCTAGCATGAAGCAGACTGTCGCCCCAAGTGTTGACTTCAATATTCACTTTATATATATATATATATATATATATATATATATATATATATATATACACTAGGTAAAAAAAATCCGTAGGTAAGTAATCCAAGTAGATCCCAAACAAAATATTATAACTGATCCACAAAAGAGAGCTGAATATATTTTTATTATAGAGCATATAAGTGAATTATAATTAATGAGATCCAAACAATTTACCTCATACAGATGATCATTTCGTCCATGGAAAAGTAGTTTTTCCCTGGAATTATCAATGCAAATACATTTACTAAAATGGATAAATTCTCACGTTTCTTCACAGGAAATTTGAAAGGCAAAGGAAGGAAAAAAGAAAAAGGAAAGAATAAAAGGAGAGAGAGGAAGTATTGGCCTATAATAGAGGAGAGAGTTATATAGATATAGAGAGACAAGGGATCTACCGTGGTTGTAGTGGAGTCGATACAGATAAATGCGTCGAATGAAAATGGAACTTTTTATTATATTTTTCTAGTCTGTGTAGAAGCTGTCGTACATCTGGATCAAATTAACTGAAAAAACTGTCCAAAGGGGAATATGGGTGGGAAATAGATGGTTCTAGACATCTTTGCCTTGTTTTTTTTTTTTATATATTTTTGTTTATAGTTAAAGAAAAAACCTTGGAATTATGACAAATACTACAAAAGTTATAAAAGGCATTCATTTTGTCGATTTAATATTAAATCCTCTTCAAAATTACAAGAAATTTGAATTTTTTTTTGAGAACCAACTGAATCTCACATTGAAAATCAGGTTTTACTAAACTTTTGCACACGGCTAATATATGTCGGCTTCAATGCAGTTAATTAAATTTTATTTCTTTTTTTTATTTCCCGTTTTTTGTTTCTATTTTTCATTTTATTATATATCATTTTATTCAGGCCATTTTATTTATTTCTTCGTCTCTTTTTCTCCTTTTATATTTTTTTTTCTTCATCGAATCTTTTTTCTTCCTTCTTTTTCTTTCCGTTTTTAATTTTCGTTTCTTCCTTTTTATTTTTCCGTTTAGTTTCTGACAGTTGATTCATTTCTTTTATAATCCAGTTCTTTCTTCCATTTTCTTTTTTTCACCTATTCTTCAACTACTTCTCTTTTCTTCTTCTTCTTTCTTCTTCTTCTTCTTCTTCTTCTTCTTCATTTCGTTCTTTCTTCCGTCTTTCCAATATCTTTTTCTTCTTCTGTTTCTTCATATCCCTCTCTGTCCGCTTCGTTTTCTTTTCTCCATGTTTTCTTCTTTACTTTCTTCCTTTTCTCTTATTTCCTCGCTTTCTTTCTTTCTCTTTTCCATTTTTTTTTATTCTATTCTTTCTTCTTTATACATCTCTTTGCTTTCTTCTTTTCCATTTCTTTTTTCTTTATTTCGTTCCTCTTCTTTTTTTCTCATTTTCTTCCTTTCCGTTTTCTCGTTTATTTATATATTTCCTTTTTTTTCCTTCTTTGATTTCTTCTTATTTTTATCCTTTTTCTTATTTTTCTTCTTCTCTTTCATCTTCTTTCTCATTCTTTCTTCATATTCTTCTTTTCTTCTTTCTTTGCAATCTTCTTGCTTCTAGTTTCTTTTTATTATTTTCTTTCTTACTATCGCTATGTTTCTCTTTCTTTGCTTTTTCTTTTATTTCTTCATATCCTTAAACTTACTCTTCTTTATTTTCTATCATTCTCTTTTTCATTTTCTTTTTCATCTTTCCTTCCTCTTTTTTCTTCACTTATTCTTTTCCATTTTCTTCTTCTTTTCATTTCGTTCCTTTTTTTCATTTTTTTCCACTTTCTTCCTCTTTCCCATTTTTCGCCGCCTTCTTTTTCCATATTTCCTCTTCTCTTTCTTCTGTGCTTTTTTTTTCCATTTTCTTTTTTTTTTCGTATCTTTCCTCCTCCTTTTCTCCTTCTCTTTCTTCTTCTTTCTTATTTTTGTCTTTTTTTTCTATTTTCATATTCTCCTCTTTTTCCGAATTTCATTTATTTATTCTTTTCTTTCTTAATATCGATTGTTTTCTCCTTCATTTTCTTCTTCTTCATTTTTTTTGTTTCTATTTTCTTCATATCTTTTCCGCTTTTTCTTGTTTGCCTTCTTTTAATTTTCCATTCTTCGTTTCTAATTTCTTCTACGACATTTTCTTTCTCTTTCTCTTTCTTCATAGCTTTCTTTTTATTTTCTATTTTCTTTTTTTCTTCTTCTTTCTCAAATCCTTCCTCTACTCTTTCTTCTTCGCCATTTTCTTTTTCTTTTTCTTTCTTCATATCTTTTTTATTTTCTTTCTTCTTCGTTTTCTTTTTATTTTCATTTTTCTTCTTCTTCTTCATATTCTTTCTCTTCTCTTTCTTCTTCGCTATTTTGTTTTTCTTTTCTTTCTTCGCTTTCTTTTTATTTTCTATTTTCTTCTTCATCTTCTTTTTCTCCTTCATATCTTTCCTTTTCTCTTTCTTCTTCGCCATTTTCTTTTTCTTTTTCTTTTTCATATTTTTTTCTTTTCTTTCTTCTTCGTTTTCTTTTTATTTTCCTTTTTCTTCTTCTTCTTCATATTCTTCCTCTTCTCTTTTTTCTTCGCCATTTTCGTTTTCTTCTTTCTTCATATTTTTTCTTTTCTTTCTTCTTCGTTTTCTTTTTATTTTCCGTTTTCTTCTTCTTCATATTCTCCCTCTTCTCTTTCTTCTTCGCTATTTTGTTTTTCTTTTCTTTCTTCGCTTTCTTTTTATTTTCCATTTTCTTCTTCATCATTTTCTTCTTCATATCTTTCCTCTTCTCTTTCTTCTTCGCCATTTTCTTTTACTTATTCTTTTCTTCTATTTCTCTTTCTTCGTTCCATATCCAACACACCCTTTATTCTTCATTCCTATCACTTATATATACTCATTTATTCTTTATTTATTCTTATTCTGTTTACGTCTTCTTTTTTGCTTGTCACTTCTGCCATGATTAATTATCTTGTAATGTTTGCAAATTCATTTCCCCAGAAGACAATAAAAACGTAAATCGTTGCCTACGATTGCCAATTTCCGCCTGATAGACACCAATCAACCACTGGTTCGATCCTATGTATGCCCGAAGCTCTGAAATCAGCCAATATTTTTTTTCTCTGATCGTCTTTATACACAAAAATAGTTTCTCATACATTGTTTCGCATCACCGTCTACGACTCGAAATTTTATTGAGCACCCAGCCAGATCAGAAGTTTCCTCTGAAAAACATCCCTTGGGGTTAAGAATTGTGACCAATCATTTTGACTTGCTTATTTTTTTATTTTATTTTTTTTCATTGTAACTATTTTTACATAAAATACTTCGTGTTTGCATTAATTGCATCGTGTAAACATTTGAACGCGGAAATAACAGGATATATTACAGAAATAAACCAAAGCTCATGGTACAGACATGATTGCAAATAAACATATCTATTGCTACCACATCTGGTCTGATGCTTTTGTTATATAAAACAGATTCTTGGTAAAAATAGATTCTTGATCTAATCCAAAGAAGCTGTGATATAATCGATCCTGACTTGGCATCTCAGCCAATTTCCAACCGCCGTAACGTAGTTTCCCTCTGCCTTTTCTATGAATACTTTCATGGCAATTGTTTTGATGAGTGTCCCTTTTTGGTAGCTCGACATTTCAAATTTAAACGTATTATTTGAGTAGCAGTTAGGTTTCATAATTTCACTGTTTAAATTGCTAGATATAACCGTAGGTTCTATGCTAATGTTTTCTTCCATCGCACTTCTCCCTTGTGTAACTCTCTTCCGGCTTCTTGCGCTCCTATGATCTTCAAATATTTAAATTCAGCACAAATCATCATAACTATAGCCTTGAAAATTGTTCTTTTATTGTCCTTTCTGTTTGTTTCGCTCTCAGTAACACCTTTCACATCATAGTGGATTGTTTGTCGCTTTACTTAGGGTGAAATGTTAATTACTACTATAAATGCAGCAAATAGAACTTTACAAACTTTCTTTTATGTGCTGTGTTTCTTCAGAACACAGGCGATCATGGTTCTCCACAACTTCCTTTTAGGTGCAATTCTTACCAATGTTTGTCTTATTATACTTCTCAGTCTCTGTTCTGCCTGCCATATACACAAGATCGGTAGGTAAGTAAACGTCGTAATATAGCTTCCCTGTGCCTTTTCTATAAATACTTTCATGGTAATTTTTCTTATGAACTTTCCGCTATGGTTGTCATTTTTTATTCCCTGCTACAAATACAAACTGTAAATATAGGAACTAGTTAGTACTTTATAGAAACTTTGATGCATTATTGTGTCTGTAGTAAAAAAATTTAAGTAAGTATGTTTTGTTATGGAATGTTTCATATGGGTGTGCGGCCGAATAGTTAGAACCTGTGTTCTAATCTCACCATGGTCGATTTGCGAGGAAGGAGACTTCCTGATGTTATCGGAATGGATCGAGGTCGATCCCAGCGTGTGTCACCTTTGGAAATGCCTGGCCCAAGCCTTGTGAGTGAAATTGGGTAGCCACAACTCTTGAGGGCTGTGCTAGAACAAAGTCACAAGTCATCGTGGCCGAGGGCTTAAGCGAGCTAGCCTTATTCAAATTGTTGTTCACACTAGATAACACGCTCTCTCCCCGAAACTGTAACTAAGGTCTGTTCCGCATAATTGCAGTATAAACCACAGTTGGGCTTTGTGGGTGTTGAGCAAACACAAAATGTGCCTGAGCGAGCGTCTGCAATAGGGATTAACTAACCGCCCTATTAAACGGTTATCCCCGAATACGAGTGGCCAGCTATTATTATTATCCTCAATCCAAGCCGCTATCCATTACTCCACCGTGCCTTCCAGACGAATCCATTACATTTACTTACGTGCTAACAACCTTGGGAAAGGTGTGAATCCTCTTTCTTCTCCCTCCAGTTATGGGTAAATAGCAGGACAGACTGGGTTCTATAGCCTTGGATGGCAACTGGTCTAGGAGAAGGAAAACTCTGAATTCAAACCTGCTCTTAGAGAAGGGTGAATGGAGTCTCTCTGAGCCTTGGTTGGCTATCAATTTAGTGATGGTGTCACGATAAAAAACACCCTTGATAGCCCTAGCGAAGCATCAAGAATTCAGCTATTTGACAAGATTATGAACTACACCAATCAAAGTATTGGTGAGTTCAATCTCGGCTGAGGCCGCAAGATGATGATAATTATTATTGAGTAAGAATGTTTTGTTTTGGTGTAAAGAATACTGTGGAATGTTTAGGTCAGTAATTGTGGCTAGCTAATTTTAAGATAAGACAGATTGAAAACCGTCCTTCCTCTACCCCCCCCCCCACTTTTGGCCTGGTGCCACATTTTTGTATTTTTCAAAATAAATATTACTCTCCGCTCTGGTACCTAGACTTTATGAATTTAAGCGCAGTACTAGATCGGCGGCAAGGTTTCACCTGTTACAGTCCAAAAATATAACCGTAAGTTCTATGTTAACAGTTTCTTCTATCGCACTTCTTGCTTGTAGAATTCTCTTCCGTCTTCTTGCTTCCAAGTCAATTTTGATGTTCAAAAATTTAAATACAATGCCAATTGTTATCTTCTGTCTTCTTAATTCTTTTTCTTTTCTTGTTCTCTCTCCTTAATACTAGTTATTCTTATATTTTCTCAGTCAGTAATCCCTTGCGTCATAGTGGCTTTATTGCCTTGCTTGGGTGAAATGATTAAAAAAAAAAGGTTACTCGATGTTTACCTCTACCACTCTTGCCTTCAATATCTCTCGTCAATGTTACATTCTCTAAGCTTTCTTTTCACGATATGTGTGCCCTAAGAATTTAAATTCTTTATAATTCAGAGCATAAGTGAGGATGAGGCCCAAGGTTGGTTGCATCTCTTGCATTTCCGCCTCTTCGTACTTTTGATGTTCTTTATGGAGGTCCTCCTCTCGCTCCTCATGTAGTTCCTCCTGTTGTTGTCTCTGCTGGCTCTTCTGCTTCAGTTGGGGGTCTTCTTCTCCTTAACATTTTGTTTCATGTTGATCCCTTTTTTGTTTCTTTTGATTCCGGCTGGTGGGTAGGGTTTGCCACTTTTGTTCCCCTTTTTAACATTTTCCGACCATCCTCCTGGACCTTTGACGAATTTTGGACCTGTCTGAACTCCTTCATTTTTCTTGGTGTTTTGTGGTTAGTGTTTCTGTTCCGATCTCTTTCCAGGACATACGTTGGAGAGGTGACCCGCGGCTCCACAAGTCCAGCAGAGAGGTCGACGCCCTTTTACTACTATATATATGGGATGTCCCCCACACATCAACCTATTTGGAATTCCCATAAACACTTTTATTTCAATTTTCCTTAACACTTTGTCGTTACTCACATGTACAATCCCTAGTATTCTCAACATTATTCTGTAGAACCATATTTCTGCCACGTCTATTTTTCATTCGAGAAAATGTTTTCCTGCATTCACTGCCATACAGGAGAATTGATATTACATAATTCGGTGTAAAAGGTAAAAATAGTTTTCATATGTTGTAATTCTTCTTCTATGTGCTATATCCCGTCGGGATGTGAGTGATTATGGCTCTCCACAACTTCCTGCCGTCCTGGGTATGACGATAAACTACATTCGCGTCCAGGGTAAGATGATAAACAGCAAGGCCTCTGATCAGGAGGCTTTGAGGAGTGTGGAACCACTTCTTAATTTCTGATGTCTCCAGGTCCACTCTGACCTGGGTGGTAGCACCTGTTAGTGTCCCAGCTACGGGCAAATAGTTAACCCAGAAACTGAGGTAAAAGGCATTATAAAAGTGTAAAAATAGGTTTTAATACCAGAAATACTTTGTAAAAAATTATTTGTAGAAATAAGTTTTTGAAGAAAAAAAATATTACCAGTAATATGTTTTTGAAAAACACTATTACCAGCAATATGTTTTTGAAAAAATATTACCAGCTATACGTTTTTGAAAAAATAATATTACCAGCTATACATTTTTAAGTAAAAATATATTAACAGAAATAGATTTTTGACAAAACCAAAATATTACCAGAAAAAAAAGTTGTCAGCATTAAATGACCCATTGAGGTTGATATGCCGTAAAAGAAAACAAAACAACCAAACCACAACTTCCTGTTCTTTGTAGCTCTAAGCAATGTTTGTCGTTTTGCTATCTCTCCTGTTCTACAAACACAAACTCGTGTTATTATTCGTTACTTTTTTTTTCTGTTCATCTTGCCTTGAATATGCCCTGTGGGTGTTAATTTTTACAAGCCCTCTTTCCTCACTATATGCGCTAGAAATGTCATTAAGTGAAACAAATAGAACTTTACAAGTTTTCTTTTATATGCCGTATCTCTTTCCAGTGAAAGCGTGAGTGGTTCTCCACATCTTCCTATTTTGTTCAATGTTTGTCGTCTTATTATACTTTCAAGTCTCCGTTCAACCGTTTTATATCCCCAAAATTTCAACTTTTCTTTCTGACTTTTTTGTTGCCATTCCATCGCCGTTCACACAATCCATGAATTGTATTCTCAGCATCCTTCTGTAGAACCACATTTGTGTTGCTTCAAGTTTTATCTTTATTGGTGACGAAAGTGCCCATCATTCACTGACATATAGGAGAATTGTAATTACATATTAATTCAGCACTTTTTTAAAAAAACAAATATTTCTTGTCTATTAAAATTTTTCCTTATTAAGATGTGTCTTTGAGTTTCTGTCTCCCATTTCTTATCGACTTGACTGATTTTGACATCCCTATCCTGTATCTTGGGTTTTCCTCTTACTAACGAAATACAGACAGTCTTCTTATAATTTATAGTTAGTCCTTTCTTCTGGCTTTCCTTTACAACCTTTTCTCGGACACAGTGTCAACTGCGTATTTCATCTTAAAATTACTTAATATTTATACCTACACTCGTATTCTACTTGTTTGTATGTACAGCCGTTATATTCTTCTAAATAGGATCAGAGTGTAGTATCAGTTCGAGC